ATTTTTTTTGTATTATTATTAAATAAAATTTAGAATAGTCTGTAATTTTTTCAAGTAGTTCTTAACATATTGCATTTGCCTTACAACCTCCTTAAGATTATGTCGTTTGAGGAAATTAGAAAAAGATCATTTTTTGTAGAAACAATAAAAATATTGTTTAGTAATGAAAATGTTGATTACGAATATTTATGATGAATGGATTAGGTAAAGAAAGCCGCAATAGCGGCGTATCACGATCTAATTAAAGGATGCTATTCACTGGATGCGGTTGAGCATGCAATTTGTCACATGGAGAGCAAAAAATACTTTAACTGTGCATACGGAGGCTCCTTGGACGCCAATGGAGAGGTTGTGATGGATGCCGCGATAATGACGAATGATCTTCGCGTAGGTTGCGTGGGTGCCGTTCGTAATATAGCACATCCTATAACATTAGGTCTGTCTTTGTTAGCAAATTGCTTACGCCAAAGAAATGATTATGTTTATTTATGACTTGCTTAAATTTCAATACTTTACACTCTTGTAGCCAAAATGGTCTTGCAGCAAACGGAACATGTGTTAATAGTTGAAGCTGGAGCGCAAAAGTTTAGCTTGGAATCAGATATTCCTACTTTGTCACCTGGCCAGTTGATCGTTATATCCAATTCGAAGACATCCTTGCACGAAGAAGGAAATAACGGTAAAGGATAGAAAAAGAACTATTTTCAAAATACTAATCGTGATACTGATGAATATAAGAAGTACAAGATACGAGAAAAACGCAAGAGCTTTTAGACGATGGGGACAAACAATCCAATAAAAAAGAATGCATATCGGAATGTGTAATTGAACGAGACAAGGAGGAAAGTGCTACTCTCGAAGTCGCTGAGATAGATGAATCCTTGGAAATTGAATCTGATTTTATACAAGTTAATAAATTTATCATAATGGCGAATTACATAATGAAATATTCAAACAAAAGTATAATTCTCAAATTTTTTCAGATTTATCTAAATTTTTAAGATTCCTAAATTTTCAGATATTTTAAATATGAACTCGTATATGTAATAACCCTTATACATATAATGTAAAATTTTATACATTATAGCTTATGTTTTTATGTTTTTACTAGTCTAACAAACCTATAATTTGTGGAAGAGAGATAAAGAGATAGAAGAAAAATGTCTTTCAAAATCTAAATCTCTTTTTCTCTTTTTTCTTCTTTCTGAACTTAATATATTTTTGCTCTGAATATTTTACATAATTAAAATATTTTTATATTATGATTATTGCACAAACATTTTATAAGACTTTTAAAGAAAATTACTTTAGCTTGGTGCAGTTGGAGCAGTGGCATATGATCGGAAAAAACGTCTCGCTAGCGGAACCTCGACAGCTGGAGAATCAGGAAAGCTGCATGGAATCGTGAGTGCAACTGGAACAGCGATCGGTTGTGGTATTTACGTTGATAAATGCGGCTCTGTGTCTGTTTCGGGTTGCGATACAGCTATCTACAAATACGCGCCAGCCCAGAGGATTTTACGACGACTGCGGCGAAAGACAATGTCGATCGACGAAGCAGTTGCTGAGGTGTTAAAAGACTTCGAAGAAAAAACAGGAGGATCATTTCCACCAGAATCCGACGTAGGTGTAATCGCGTTGACTGCCAAAGGAATACCATCAGTATCCTTTAAGTGCGCACATTTTCCTTGGGCGTATTGCGACAAAGGCTATGTGTATTACGGATGCGCGAGGAACGAGATTTTCTCAGAAAAAATCGATATCATCGAGCGATCATTAGACTGCATGTGTGAAGATTCAAATTAGATCAAATGTGCGATTCACCAGAGAATCTGTAGATTTTAGTCAGAGCTGCAATAAACTCAACTGACGTATCTGACCAAAATAAATCGATTGCATCTCAATATTTATTTGCATTTTTGATATCCGGAACATAATTTAATTTTCTTCCTTTTTTCTTTCTTTCTGTTACATACAGAGTGAACTTTACTGAATCAATTTGGAATAATCTAATCCAATTTTTTACAACAATGTTTTTACTCTATGGAAAAGAACAGTTTTGTTGAAATATCTAAATTTAGCTAACTCCAATAATAATCATGCTAAACCATCAAAATAATTATAAAGGGCGCTCAAACATGATGACATTGCTGAAAAAGTTTTGACATTGAACAACCAGCTTGATCGTTCAATATATTAGGTGTTAAACTTAATTCCTGCCGTTTTTCGTCTCCAAAATTGATTTGTTTTGAAGGGAAGATGAATGAATGCCTCAATCAAAGTAATTTCCTCCATTTTCTACTTTATTACTAATTAATAATATTTTGATTAAGGTATTTCTCTTCGAAACAAATCAATTTTGGAGACGAAAAACGGCAGGAATTAAGTTTAACACCTAATATTATAATTAGTACAATTACTTTATGTGATGGTCTAACAAAATTACTTTAGATCCGTATCCACCTAAATTTTTAGATACTGCAATAAAATCGTTTTTTCCATGTATTAGATTGAGTTACATAAATTTGGTTTCGTGAAATGAAACTAGTCCGTACTCAACTTACAGGAAAGATAACACCATGATTATCCTCGTAAGGCCCGTATAATAAGAATGTGGGTGCTTGTCCATTGAATTTTCTTCCAAATATCTTATCCATTTCAAGTAGCATCGTATAAATTTCTTGGCGTCTTAGATCCGTGATATTCTCGTGTGCCATTATCTGCCAAGACAAAAAAATGCATATTTGCAATAAGAACATCTAATATTAGCTAAATCATATGTTAAAGAGGAAATGGTTATACCGATCCGAGAGACGTCCAAGCGAGCAAATACGGAACTCTTTTTATAGCTTCCGCCAAGGTCGGACCTAATACTCTGTACTTAGGCAAACGATTTATATTCTTATTATCAATTCTCTCGTAATAAAAATCACCTGTGATATTAGAAAGTATTAGATAGAACCATAATAAAGATAGTTAACCGAAACAATTAATCGATTCAACTCACCGGCTTCCGTTTTGTTTTCTATGACTTTTAAATTGACGAAGGCAACGTCGACGACACCGGAAGCCAAGTAATTAAAAGTATTTAGATCGTCACCCGCATGTTCCGCACCTGCAACGACATTGCAATTTTGATTATTTATCAACTCATTTCCTGTATCATAACGTGTTTTATATCTCTCTTATATACATTGTTCTTAGCGAGTCGTGAGAGTTTAAACGGTCTATTATATATTTACATATGTAATGCGTCCATATCTTTATGATTATAGTTCATTTACGAGCGCTTTGCACACAATTATAATCGTGACTGTACGTCTCTATATCTTACCTTCCTTGCATAATGAATGTAAATTAGCCGGGAGCTCGTTGCCATTATTTTTATTATTCCATCCGAGGACACAGCTATCTTTGAAGAATTTTGAAATAGCCTGCGCGTCCGAACAATCCCAATTTCCGTTCGACTCGTTCCTCATTAACGTTACAAAAGCGTTCCAACCTGGGACCAAGAGACCATAACGGCGAAATGGATTAAAAGCAATTCTGGGGTAACTGAAACTGCGAAATACGAAATTATATCCCATTTATATAATCGCACCGACGCTTCTGTAGCCCGTGAAGGCCGCCTTGGCACCTTTAAGATCCTGCATAACTCTGAATCTGGAATTTCTTTTGACAACCGCCGCGATCCTATTCAATTCTTGCCGGCTGTGCGCCATCGCGTGGATAATAGGCTTCAAACCCATCCTGCGAGAGAAACGATTTGAAAAAATATTTTTAATTTTTATTTGTCATGTTTACGTTGGTCCGCTAATATTTAGGTTTTTACATTTTGTTTTCGAGAAGCTCTTCAGGCCGCGCCAAAAAAATGTCCGTTCTTCCTTCTCGTGTGGCCTCTACGCATGCTTCTCTGCTAGTTTCTTGAAGGCAGGAAATCAACGGTTCCACGCCGTAAACGATAGAAGCGTCTCTTAGCCAGCTGCACTTACGCTTTTCGAGATTGGATACCAGACACCAACGTACGTCTCTTGATGGTAGACAACCCGTTCGAACGTTAGCGCTCAAGAAGTTTGGATCTTTGATCAGAACATCCGCATTGTTGAAAAACAAACGAAATATATTATTTATCATATTATATTCATAAACATTTCTAGATGCTTTTTTTATAAGACTTAATAAGATTATACTTTTATGTATATTGATTCTAATTTAAATTAGGTAAATATCTAGATCAGGGGATCCCCCCCAATGATCTTGACTTTGACATATGTTGTCAAGGTCATGACCCTGAGTGACCTTCAACAAGTTTTAGCCGACGCTCGTTATTCGGTAAAAAGTTATGAACAAAAAAAGTTCAGCTATATAACATGAGAATTCCCTGCTTTAAAATATGTTTGATAGTCGTGCACTGTAGGGGACGTCTCCCAATGGCCTTGACCTTGACATATGTTATCAAGATTATGACCCTGAGTGACCTTCAACAAGTTTTAATATTTAAATTTTAATTTTAAGTTTTAATTTAAAAATAAAGAGTACTTACAGTACATACATCTGAATTAAGAATTTTAATCAATATTTACGTTATCTAGTGGATATATTGCACTCATTAGGTTTGTTTTCTGTTCCTGCACTGGTTACACTAGTTAAAAAAATGTACACTAAAGTGTTTTCTGTACCCAAAATGGCGTCAGTGACGGTATTTTTTGTTTCGGTGCACGAATTCACCAAACTGGCTGCACTAGATCTTGAGTCAGTGTAGCAAGCATCGGTGTGCACTAGTTCAGCTACAGAAAACATTTCGCGTAAATGATGCATAGCAAATGGTGGCAAGTTCGAGAGTCCACGACTAAAAAAACGGTAAGTATATGGAAATAAAAACTTTTCTCGATCTAAAAGACTTATATTTACATTTCAATACATTAAAAATGCATACATACAAATAAAAACCGT